CCGTATCTGTAATTTCATAACCCATGCATTTTTTAATTATGAAACCTGTATGAGTAAGAGATATTTAGAGATACATGGAAAGGGCATGTTTAGTCAGGTACCAGACTGTGGATTTAAATAACAGTAACTGTTTTGGGCTATAATCCACCAACCCAAGTCTAGTAGCTTAATCAAAGTGTTAGAGGATTCCCTCATATCCTTTAACCTCACTGAAGTTCACTTTGGTATTTTAAAAAAAAAAAAAAAAAAAAGGCAGCCAGAAGGCTGAAGGACCTTTTGTCATTGCGAATGTCAGCAGAACTAGTACCTTGAACAGACAAGTTTAAAGCAAGTGGCTAAATCTGTAATTCCTGATCATTTGCAGGAGATCTGCACTACACACAGCAGGAGATCCAGCCAAATTTGGCTTGTAATGTTGCAAAGAAGCTTTGCTGCTGTTGTTATTTTAAGTTCCAACAGTGGTTTAACCAGCCACTTTAAAGTGTGCCTATTTCTATTTAGACCAGTTACTAAGAGGTGTTACTAGCAGCTGACAACTAAAACGGACCTTCAGAAACCCCCCATCTGAACTGAGATGCACATCAGGGCTGAGAATGGACAGCACAGTGATGTTCTCTTTGCTGGACTGGGAGAAACTGCTGAATTCCCAAAATGAATAATTTTCTTAGTAATTCTAGTTCCTCACTTTTTTTTGCGTAAATTCTCAGCAGTGACTCACTGTAAAATTTCAACCTTGCTTCCTCAAGGTTTATATACACTGACCATTCCTGACAGCGGGGAAGCCTACCTGCGAATCTCGGGCAGTGCTGTGATTCAAGGCTGCAGTACACATCCTTTAACAACAGCTTTTGCCTTCTAATGTAGCTTAAAATACCCCATCAAAATACAGTTTTAAGACTGGACTATACTGGCAAACTACAGTACAGGCTTCCAATGTTCTGCCAGCTTCTCTCAGTATGTGGGACTTCAGCAGACTTTTTTCCCAGCGTCCTCACTGCTTTGATCACCAGCAACTTTGAAGAGCGAACAACTGCATGCTTACGGAGCTACACGAAGGGCAAACACTTCCTTTTCAGTCACTAGGAGCTTTAATTCTTGGCAGCAACCACAGTATGTGGTAAAAGGACTATCAAGGGATTTTTCCCACATCTGCAGCTTGGGATGTGCCTTATCAGGTATCTCTTGCCTAAACATCCTGTGCTGTTTCAGAGCCCTGCTGTCAGTGGCACCCTGCTTTTACCTATGTTCTGCCCACAGCAAGTTTTCCCTTGATGGGGGAGCTTTATGCTGGCTATTTACAGAATCACAAAGGTAGTCTACCTATCTGATACTGCTTTTGAGTACTGAATGCAATAAAAGCTTCAAAGTTTCGTTTATATGAAAGCCACCAACCTTCCAAGTAGGATGCTTTGCACTGTTACTGAGAACAGAATCAATACACCTTGGATTCACCCCTACAAACCTCTTTTTACTCCAAATAACTCTCCTACAAGGCTTTGAGCAGCCTGGTCTAGTGGAAGGTGTCCCTGCCCATGGCAGGGGGGTTGGAACTAGATGATCGTTAAGGTCCCTTCCAACCCAAACCGTACTGTGATTCTATGACACTAACTTGCTTTACAAGGTACCAGTGCTGTCACTTCCTCCGGCTGATCTAAACATGCCTACAGAGGAGAAACACACCACGTGCAGGTACCCCACTCCACAGTTCAAGTCACCAACACCCTTAACAAGATCTCTTTGACTGCACCTAGAAAAAATTATGTGCTCCTCGATCAGGGGAAAGCAGCTGAATAGCATATCCAGGAGTAAAGGAAGGAAGATCAGAAAAAGGCTGATGGGATCACAAGCAAACAAAACCTACGGGATACTACCACTGGGAGGGGAGAGGGACGAATAAAGGTTTTGTCTTTTGTGCAGCCCATTTTAGGCACATGACTGAGTTGTCATCTCTTGCTCAAAGTTAGCCATTACCTGAATGCACACCGGGGTATTTCTTTTTGTCTCTCTAAGCACTGACACCTTCTCCAAGCGAAACGCTCACTTGGCTGTTTTTATAACAGGACCTTTGATAACAGACTGCTCTAACTTCCCACGGGGAAGAGGAGTACCACTCACAAACAGTCTCACTCTCGTACAGGAGGCGTTGTTTTAGCACTAAGACTGTTACCATTTCCAGAAGAGTTGGCCGGCGCTTCGGAAGGAGAGGTAATGTTTTCTTGCCCCGGTTATCAGGCCCTCTGCGTTGAGGACGTGCGTTTGAATCCGAGCTTCTTAACGTCGTGCCTGCGCGCTCTGGACGGTTTTGATTCGGGCTTCGACTCCACGGAACACAAGTAGTTTGAGGCGTATTTCCGAGCGCAGCCTGGCTTTTCTCAGCTTTTGTTGCAGTCTTGACAGGGATTTCTTAAAGAAAAAGAACACAGTTTCATCTCAGACTTGAAAGCCTCTTTAACACACTTACATCTCCACGCGCTGGGCAGATCGTTAGTACTATTCTTGTTCACATAACCTGATGTGAAGATATTCAAGGTTTACTTGGAGGAAGGGAGGGTTTGTTTTGGTTTGGGCTTGAGATTTCTTTTAAAAATATGAAGAATAATCTCTAAACATTCACAGAAAGAAAAACAAGATATTTAAATTCCACAATACAAAAAGAAAAATAGAAGTAGCAAGAGCTGAACAACATTTGCAAACCTCTGCCTGATTTATCACTTAGAAAGTACATTGCTTCTTGCTTCACAAAGGGGATTCCTGAATCACAGAATGGTTTGGGTTGGAAGGGACCTTAAAGATCATCTAGTTCCACCCCCCCTGCCATGGGCAGGGACACCTTCCACTAGACCAGGTTGCTCCAAGCCTCATCCAGCCTGGCCTTGAACACTTCCAGGGCTGGGGCATCCACAGCTTCTCTGGGCAACCTGTTCCAGTGCCTCACCACCCTCTCTGGGAAGAACTTCTTCCTGATATCCAATCTAAATCTCCCCGCTTTCAATTTAAACCCATTACCCCTTGTCCTGTCACTACAGGCCCTTGTAAAAAGTCCCCCCCAGCTTCCTTGTAGCCCCTTCAGGTACTGGAAGGTGCTATAAGGTCTCCCCAGAGCCTTCTCTTCTCCAGGCTGAACAAGCCCAACTCTCTCAGCCTGTCCCCATAGCAGAGGTGCTCCAGCCCTCTGAGCATCTTCGTGGCCTCCTCTGGACTCGCTCCAACCACTCTATATCCTTCTGATGTTGAGGGCTCCACAGCTGGACACAGCACTCCAGGTGGGGTCCCACAAGAGCAGAGTAGAAAGGGAGAATCACTGAAAATCTTGCTGCTGAGAAAATCAGGAGACAGTTAGGGCAGAGGATGCCCAAATTCAATTCCCTGCCTGCAACTTTGGGTAGGCCATCTTGGCCAAGTACAGCACTGTAACTACCCGCAAAGACAAGGAGCAGCAGCAGTTCCCTACCACACACTGATGCGTACACTCAGAGAAGCACCAATCCCAGTACTAGAGAGTTCAAGTCTTACTGTAACACCCAGCAGCCTTCCATGGAAAAAGCCCTCAAGGACATGGAAATTAGTTCACAGGGTGAGCATAGCAGCTTTTTCAAACGAGCACTATTCAAACATGATTTGAAGCAAGACTGAAGTCAGGTTTATTTTTTTATTTATTTCCCCTAACTAGGGGAAAAAAGGCTTGGGAAATTTGATGACACACACCCCTAACCAAAGATATTTTATGCCTCCTCCTTCAACCCAGGACATGCTGCTGAGAAAAGGCAAAGAAAAAGGGGAACAAACCACCCAGTCTTTCAGGAAAGTCTCGTTTGGGGCTTTCTAAAGTATGCTGATGGGCTGGGGGGGACAAAGGGGAACCAGTGGACATGGTTCCCTAGTGGACAAGGCCATGCCCATGCACTGGCTGACTGCACAAATGCTGTGTTCTGTCTGGGTGCTCCTCTGAGAGCAGGAACTATCAGAAATCAAAAGGCATTTCCATAGCCAAGTATACTGGAGATACAACCACCGAACTGCCATTACTTTAACATCTTTGCTAAATGTAAACCGCAGCTTACATGCTCTATTTTCTTCTGCAACACCTCTGACTACTCTTTAAAGCTTTTTCCTCAAGAAATTTTAAGGACTATATAGGTTCTGACTGACAACCTACAGCTTTCAGCAGACGGGAATGCAGCCATCCAGAGTTACCACTGGGCTACTGCGCTCATAATGCTGTATTTATAAACACACAGGGGCTGGGAGATGGCAAAGGACCAACTACAGGTGAAGCCCCCCCCACCCTTCCCACAGAAGGGTAATTTGTGATCATTGCTTGCACCCCACACCAGCGCAGTGGCGTAGGGTAGAAGGGAGAGGAGAAGGGCAGAGGATGTGTTCCTACACCCCTTCGGGTTCGCTGTCGGACGCGCTGCCGTAGTTGGCTGACAGCGAACTCAGGGCGGAGGTGACCTGCTTGGGAACAACAGTCAATCCCAGTCTCTTGTCTTCGGCTGCTGCTTCGTCCTTGTCAGATTCTGCAGGGAGAGAAAAGGCAAGAGGGATTTCTTTCCCGATACTCCTGGCATGCCAACAGCCAGCCTTGCTGCTAAATCCCGATCTCACAGCTACACAAGCTCAATGCTGGGCTCAACACCGTGAACTGATAGAAAAAAAAAAAAAAAAACAAAACTACATTTGGCTACCCTCTACAGACATTCAGTAGCAAAGTGGTCTCACTACTGCTTTACAGTCCTGCCAGCAAAGCTACGAGAGCAAAAAGTTTCCAGAACAAGAGCTTGGGCTTTCCAGTTCTTTCTTCACATATCAAACATAATTATAGGCTTTATTATCAAGGGTAGGTAAAGAGAGACAGGATTTCATAGTATGTTTTGAAGTCTTGCTAGATTTAGTCCTGAGAAGGCAGAGGGTGAGGTAGCAGGATTCAAAAGCCAGTCAGGGCAGGGAGGAAGGAGAATAGAGAGGAGGCCATGAAGATGCTCAGAGGGCTGGAGCACCTCTGCTATGGGGATAGGCTGAGAGAATTGGGCTTGTTCAGCCTGGAGAAGAGAAGGCTCTGGGGAGACCTTATTGCACCTTCCGGTACCTGAAGGGGCTACAAGGAAGCTGGGGGGGACTTTTTACAAGGGCCTGTAGTGACAGGACAAGGGGTAATGGGTTTAAACTGAAAGTGGGGAGGTTTAGAGTGGATATCAGGAAGAAGTTCTTCCCAGAGAGGGTGCTGAGGCACTGGCACAGGTTGCCCAGAGAAGCTGTGGGTGCCCCATCCCTGGAAGTGTTCAAGGCCAGGCTGGATGTGGCTTTGAGCAACCTGGTCTAGTGGAAGGTGTCCCTGCCCATGGCAGGGGGGTTGGAACTAGATGATCTTTAAGGTTCCTTCCAGCCCTAACCATTCTGTGATTCTATGATTCAAAGTGAGAACTTAAGAGCAAAGAAACTTTTGGAGAGTAAAAAAAAAAAAAAAGAACCAAGGCTACAAATTAGATTATTGGTTTTCAGCAGTACTTCAGACCATTTGATACTTAAAACCCCAAAGAGCATTACAGACATGCAAGAGTATGCGAGTTATTATGGTCTCTACCACCCCACAAGAGAATACCGGGAAGACAGGAGGCAAGCAGACCAAAAATGCTGAAATTGAGGATAGTAGAAAAACAGAGCTCTTTCAGAAAAAGATTCCTAAAAATAAACATGCAGAAGTGATGTTTTCATTTGAAACAAAGGATCTACATGCACTAAAATCTTGGAAAGACTCTCAGGTGAACAGTGCTAGAGTTAGCGGGAGAACTAGGAAAGGGTTTTCAGTAACACACCTGCATACGAATTTCAAATATATATATACACACACACCCCCCACACTACTAGAACACTACAAAACTAGAAGGTTTTGAGGAACTAGCCTATTGAAACTTCTAGAAAAATATTGGTTGCAACCTTATTTTCACAAATAGAAGAGTTGTGCCCTCTCCCACCCCTGGTCTGTCCAAGCCTGCCTCACAGGAAAGCTGCCTCACACTTCACAGAAATAAACACTTTTGAGATCTTTATTTTGAAATCACAAATGTTTCTCTATTTGCCTCTAATATATCATTAACAATTGGCAATTTAATCCATTAGAGCTCAGTGCCGTTCAGATGAATACCTGTGCATTGACCAAGAAGTTGTTTTACTAAACAAATTACCTGCCTCTTCTCCAAGGGCTTTGAGAAAAGGTTGATTCTCACTGATTTAGTAATCATGCCAATTTGCAATTGCATTGGAAGCTCAGGCTAAACACAGCGCATTTTTCCAATGGAGAATACATGTCACCTGCATATACTTTGGCAATTATAAAAATAGCATTTAATTCAAGTTATTTTGATTTATTGCTGCTTCTTCCGTCTGACCCAATAGGCTGAGCGCACACTTCGGTTGGGTGTCGTTTCTTTTTATTCTCTTTTAATTTTAAATAATTACTTATAATTTTCTTTTTTAGCAAAAACAGGAAAACACATTTACTGGAATACCTTTTCTCTTTGAGAGCAAGATGTTTGGAGAAAGCATTATGCTCTACTGAATATAACTGTTTCTGGTCAGGAGATCCCTCAAAATTTTACACCTGACAGGCTCATCCTCTTACCTGTTTTCTGCATATAAATCATGACGAAAAAATCTGTTTTCTCATCTCCCATTCAATTTCTTAGCTATGAGGGAACTAGCCACTCAACAGAGGTTAAGCAAATGCATTATGCAAAACACACATTCCCTCTAGAGAAAGGGCTGCTGCCGTTAGAAAGCTTTAAATACTTCAACAGAATGTACCTATACAGTGAAGCCGTGGACTTCAGGTGTATGACTTTTTTTTTTAAAAATTAACTTGTTCACATTATGTGTGTTATTATTTGTTATGACTGTATTTCTCATTAGTATAAAAACTGCAACTGGTTTTAATAACGCATAATAAGCAAGTACCACATTCATTTCCTACCTGTTAACAGTTACTAGCTGTACTTTGACATAATTAGACTTTTTATCATTAAGTAAAACGCAGATGCTGTGGGGAAATACAGTTATATTTAAGCATACTTTCGTTTCCCAACACGCAGAGATTAGTGGAACAAACAAATTGCCTAGGGATGATGAGTTCTTGTTCCCACTAATTGAAGAATATATTTTCAAGAGGAAAAACTCAGCATCAGACATCTTTCCAGGGGATGCATTCTAGCCTTGTTGCTAAAAATAGCTGGAGTATAAGTCAGCTAACATGCCATATTCTAAGAGTACCACATCACTACCGACTATATTATAAATAGTTCTATCTGGAGAGCTGATATTGCTGCCAGCATGTAGAAACAAGACATGCTCACCAAAAAACAACTAAGCAGCAATACTTCAGAGAACACACACATATGGAGAGTATCCAGAGTAAATTAAATACTACAGCAAAAGACAATTAAAAGAAAAATTCTGACATTTTAAGTAATTTGCTTAACTCATACAAGGGAATCCACTTGTTTTCACAGTCTAAAAACTGCTATTTTCAAAACCACAAAGGGATAGTCTTTTAAAAATAATTTGATTGTCAAAGTACGTTATTCTTCCTCTGGCTTCATAAACATTTTCTTAGTTTACATGTTAGTTTAGCAACCTAACTTGGCACAGGTCCCTTAGACCATCGTACAGCAGTACCATCAGAACATGCAATACTGCACACCAGCCTTCCAAAACCCTGACCAGCAAGCAGAGTTTTCAGCATCTAAACTTATAACAACTCAGATGCTACTTTTTTTTCCTCCCTCCTGAAGTTACTACATCACTTCTCTATGACCCAGACCACTTTCCTTTTGCTGCCTCTCCCAGCAAAGTATTTTGAGGAAAAAAGCATTCCTAATTATGAAACTACAGGTGAAATAAGATTATTATGGTAAAGTACGCGTTAAAACAAAGATAGAATTGAGGTGCTCCATTAAAAGCCCAGAAACCCTCTTCAATTTGTTAGCTAAATACTGACTCAAAGCTAGTAATGTATTTTAAAACATGCAAAGCTACGTAAGTATCCAGAGAGGTTATTTTTCAAATCCAAGGCAGACCTACATCCTCTCACCCAGCATCTTCTCCCCTACAGATTAAGCATTTTTTTGATGATACGAAATAAAATTTAATGCTTCCTAATTCTCACAGAAAAATCAGAAAGACGCAAAAGTAGCCTGACAGATCTTCCCCGTGTGTTTATAATACGATCAACTTGGCTTGCAAGCAAACTTATGTAGAAGTGCTTAAAGCTGGTCATATCTTAAACATTCTTGTGTCAGCCTTTCCAAATCAGAATTTTTCATCCTCTTCAATGACTTTTCTATTTCAGCTTTTTTCCAAACTGTATCTCAGCCAAGTCTACTAGTTTTAGCTCCTCCTACCAGCGCACATGGACATGATTACAGGAAGAAATTCCTCATGGAAAGGGTGGTGAGGCACTGGAACAGGTTTCCCAGAGAAGCTGTGGATGCCCAATCCCTGGAAGTGTTCAAGGCCAGGCTGGATGAGGCTTTGAGCAACCTGGTCTAGTGGTGGATGTCCCTGCCCATGGCAGGGGGGTTGGAACCAGATGATCTTTCAGGTGCCTTCCAACCCAAACCATTCTGTGATTCTGTGAATTCAGTCAGATATACACACACACTCTATCTCAAACACCTCTAGGCCACTGAGGAAGTTTCCTCAGTAAGAGGCCAGAAGCTCCCCAAAATGCAAGATTTACCCTATTTCCTTTAGATAAAGCACTCACCCCCTCTTTCACAATAATCACACTGGGAATTTTCTTATAAGACCATGTTCTGAATCAGGATCTCTCTCTACAGAAATCTTCTTTTAAGAGGAAGATCCAAGTGCAAGTTTTAGGGGAAGGGATGTTGGACTACCTTCCAGCTTATGACCTTGTTGGCCCTGGCACTATTCTAACCACAATACAGCAACCCTGGGCTTTTTTGTTAGTAACAACGAGAAGTATGGTAACAGGCTTCCCAGTATTCTTGGAAAAGAATCAATGCACCAATCTTCTACTAAGAGAGTTGTCCCATTTTACACATTCACAGTTAGCCCTCTTTTCAGCCAAGGACAGAGTTTACATGTTTTTGGAAATCCCCAGCTCTCCCCAGAAGTTGCTGGTTATGCAAAAGGTCAGTAATCGCTTCAGCAATGCTACTTAAAGTAGACGTTCTCCAAGTTCCTTCATCTTACCAACATCACTGTTTGCCAGAAGACTGAGAGGGTCCACGTCCTTCACATTTGGCTGAGCTGCCAAAGCATGCTGGCTATCATCTTTCTTTTTACACGTGCTGTTTTCTGGCCCATTAGCTTCATTTTGAGTCCTGTGTACGTTATAATCACCACCATTTTTCCTAAATTTCTTCCAGAATGGGCGCCTTTGTCTTCTCCTCCGTCTTCCTTGGTCCCCATTTTGGTCTTCATTTTCTGGAGGTTTCCACATCCCCTTCATTTTCCTACAGAAGGGAAAGGCAAAGCTTACACAAATGACAAGCTAGGAGAATGAAGTCAACTGACGTTACCAAGCAGCTCAGGCCCACGTTTAAGGTTCAGCAATGATGCCAGGACTGACTCTGGCTCAGCTAATATGCGGTGACAGACCAGACAGGCAGTCACAACTCATCTCATTGGCAGGGCAATGTGACAAAGCTGGAACCTAAATGAAGAGTTTGAAGTTCATAACTTTTATAACAAGGCAAAGGGTACATGGGCTAAGCAAGTTCCTTGCTTGTCTGCAGCGTGAGGATATAGCGTTTTCATTTCACATTAAAAAGTCAACAAATATTCAACAAATATTCCCTTCATTTAATTGCTTAAGTCATTCAAAACAGGGAGAACGTGGAATTAAAAGGGAAGCATCTACTACAAGCATACCTCCACTGCTGGAGTGTTCTTTTTCCAGTTAGAGCTCAGAGAAGGATCTTACTTTATTAAATCCATTCAGCCATCTGACACCACCACTTGCAGTGACTGCCTACTCCTGTCTCCATTCGTCTTTTTCACTCCAATGGAAAAGGAGTAAAAGAAACTTCTACCATGACAACAGATTTTTAAAAATATGAAACAAATGAACAAGTCTTCAAATACGGGAAGAGCACAGCATGCTGTTCCACGAATATGCCATGGTCCCATAATCTTTCAGGTTATCCTATAAACACAGAACATATTTATATGACAGTACCTGCAGAACTTGAACTCTCATCAAACCCTTGCACAAGGCCAAGTGCAAGGTCC